CTTCCTGGGTCATTGCTGTGACTTCCCATAAAACTTAAACAAGTCAGCAAGTAATTGGAGCATTTACAGACAGAACGAGGAGTCACTGGATCATGCCTGTCTAGATAGGATTCCAAAGAGGGGTGCCTTATCTCTCAGGACCCATGTGATTCCCAAGCATGTGGTCATCTGTCCATGCTGCGTAGTTAAGAGATGGGTAGTGTAAGAGACCACCCCCCTCAACATCTGTCTCCATGACAGCCACGTTAAGCTGCCTTCCAGCCAGACAACAACGTCCATGAAAAGGTTGAAGATGGGGAAATGTTCATCAGAATTGCTCTCAGCACAGTGCTGCAGGAGTTTGAAAGGAAAACTTCTGTAGACATTTAAGGAAGGGTCTGGAGTATGGAGGTGGGGGTAAATCCACTAACAGCTGTTTGCTAATCCAAGTGACAGCGAGGATTTTGTTTTGCCAAGTGGCCCATGCAAGCCTGGCACTTATGTTGAGCTGTCAGACCTAAGGGTATAGAGTGAGTCTCATTCCTGTCCTCACAGCACTCAAACCTTTCTAGTAAATAAGCAGAGACTGAGTCAATCAAGAATAGGTTCTTGGGTTGGGGATGTAGCTCAGTAGGAAAGCGCTTGCCTAGCATGTGTAAGGATTTTGATTTGACCCCCAGCTCCAGCACCATCAAAAACAACAACAACAACAAAAAAAAGACAAAAAATAAAGACTATATTCTTGACTAATTCAGACCATCTGAATTAGTCATTTTGCATTGAATGGTATTCTTTCATGACAGATGCTTTGTGGGGTGGGGAAGATTCTGCCCAGCTCTTGAAACTGTCTTCCTCCTATGCACATGGTGGGCCTCAGGATGTCACACACTGTGTGATCCATGTCCCTGGGCAGGGATGGAAATGACACCTGAGTAGGCCATCTTCCTCCCTTGAAAAACTGGGAGCAATGAGATTCAACAGTCCCTTGAACAGATGTTTTGAGATGGCTGCCCCAACAGCCATGTGATCTGAGGAGCAGAGGATGCTAGTTTGCAGGAAGGGAAAGAAAGAGAAGGGGAAAGCCAAGTCACAGGGGACAGAGGTAAATCTTAGAGGGAGTGCTGGGCTCAGGCCTCCTAGATAATCAACCACTTCTTGCTCTTAGGTTCCTGAGACACTATCTGTCCTTGTAATAAATTTCCCTTTTGGGATTGAACCCAGGACCTACAGCTTGCCTAGCACTTGAGCCACAGCCCCAGTCCTTTTGCTTGCAGTTTGTTTCTCACATTGGGTCTCACAATTTTGCCTAGGCCAGCCATAAACAGAGATCCTCATACCTCTGCCTCCCAAGAAGCTGGGATTACAGGCACACACTACCACACCTTGCCCTCCCCTTTTCTTTTCTTAATTGAAATTGAAAAATGAATTAGGGCTTGAAAGCTATTAGTCTTTTCAGGATATTTGTATCTCAGTTCAACCCTGCCCATGGCCTTTCCTTTCTTGTCTGAAATTTCTCTTATTCAAGTTACTCCTTTGGCAGAGGCCAATTAAAAGTGTGTGTGTTCCAAGCAAGAAGACCCCTAGGAGGTAAGCAATGAGGACACCACATCCAACCCTTTGCTCAAAACCTTAAGGGAATGTACACCTTTGTTCAGTTTCAAGGTCAGAACAGAGTGCCCCTCCTGGAAGACCAGAACAAAAGTGGTTTTTTCCTGGCTGAGGAAGGCAGGAAATATGGTGTCAATCAAGGCTGGTCAGGACTCAGGAGGGAGGCCATGCAGGAAGACAGGTTAGTGTCGGTAATCTGCCTACTTCACATATCATCCTGGACTAGCCTAAAATTCTCCAGCAATGAAAGAGTTCCTTTGTCTTTCTGCTTTAAAAGCAATTTTCATGTACCTCATAGGTCCAGGATCCGTACCTTACTCAAATTTATACTCTCGTACCCCCATAGCACATTGCACAGAACAGACATATGGTAAACCTCTGTTAAATGACATATTCTTTTGTATGTCCTATGTATGTATTTCAAATTCACTTACGTTTTTGTTAATCCCTTTCCTTTTGGGCTCAGAAAGGCTTTCAAGAGTGCTGATGTGGTGCATGCCTGTAATTCCAGCAAGGCTGAGGTAGGAAGATCATGAGTTTAAGGCCAGCCTGGGCTCCAAAGTGAGACCCTATCTCAACAACAAAACTCTGTGGTAATGGGACATGGACCTGCAACAGGATGGCAGTAAGGGTTGCACAGAATGACTTCTGCCTCCTCAGAGTTTGTAATTTAATAAAGAGATGACATTGTCGTAAACAAAAATACAACCCTCCAAGTATGACAAATTCAATGACTGTGTAATTTTTAACATCAACATTATTATAAGAAGCAAGGTGTGATAACACACACCCATAATTCCAGCTATTTGGCAGGAGGATCATGAGTTTAAGGCCAGCCTAGATAAAGTTAGGAAGACCCTATCTCTAAAACAAAATACAAATGAAAGGGCTGGGGAGAGGCTCGAGTGGTACAGCACTTACCCAGCATGCTGAAGGCTCTGGATTCAGTCCCCAGTACCATAAGTACTTGTCCTTTATTTTGTTTCATGGCAGTACATTGAACCCAGGGTCTTGCACATGATCCTAGGGGAAAAAAAAAAAAAAACTATTGCAGGGATTAGAACTTAGCTCAAGCAACCTTCCATGGCATGTCTTCATGTCCCCTTCCCCTCCATAGCTTGACATCTCCTTTATCTTAGGCTCCATGGGGAAAAGGTACATGGTTGAGCTCACTGTTGAGGCCCAGCAAACTGTAGTCTCATGGGAGGTGCTCGATCAGTATTTGCTGAATTATAGGAATAGTAGCTTTTGAATTGGGCGGTGGTGGAAGTCAAAGCAGCAACAGAGGAATTGGAAACCAGACCAGCATCTCCTCAGCTGTGCGTGGAAACTAGGACTAGCTAAGAAGAGTGGGAAAGGGAACTGATACTTGTTGCACATGCGTTTTGTGCCAGATGTTTTGCACCTATCAGTTAATGCTCAGAGGAGACTTTGTTTAGCAGTGCAAAGTAGCAGCCCATTTTACAAATAAGAAAACCGAATCAGGTAAGAAAAATTCCCCCACTTGCTAATAATGCAAGTGTTAAGATCTCACTCAGATCTATCTGGCTGCACACTTTTCTCTTCTCTTCACATAGCTCAGCGAGTCCCTTATACAGAGCTCAGATGGTGCAAGCAGACAAAGAGAGCTTGGACACATATGACCAAGATGAACAGGGAGGCCCAGAACACCAAGGGCAGAGGAAAGGGACAGGAATCGAGGACATGGACATCCCTCTGGGTAATGACCAGGACCAGTAGAGAGAAAGATCCTTTTTCCCCAGGGTTCCCAAGAACCTCACAGAAACTTGTGTAGTCAGAGAAGTATGCAGAACTGGGGGAGAGAGTGTCCAGGTTTCTTGCAGAAATAAAGTGTTGCCTTTGATATCTTTCATAACAGTCAAAAAGAAAAGAAAATATAATCCCTAGAGCCAAAACTCTTGTGTGCCAGAAGTCAGACTAGCCTCCCCAACTATCTTTTACTGCTATTAAGAAGAAAAAAAAAACCCATTTATACACATATATATATATATATGTAAATTTTCTTTTGCCAGTGCTGGGGATTGAACCCAGAGCTTCACACATGCTAGGCAAGAAATTTACCCCTCAGCTGCATCCCCAGCTCAGAAAAGCATTCCAAAATGGAAATCACATTGTGCCTCTCTCACAACCATCCTCCTTTGGCACCCTCCCTCTCCCATCTGAAATTCTTCAGTGGCTCCTCCTGAGCAAGGGGACCAATGAGCTCTCCACCCGTGATCCCACACAGTGCACATCACAACCCGCCTGCCTTCCAGCATGGAAACCTCTCCTGTCCCACACTCTGCCCCGTAAACTCAACACCCCCATAAATCATGTGCTTTGTGCTCCAGGGGCTAAGACCCCCCCACACAATCCACTTCTCATTCTTTTCAAAGGAGGACTTCTAGAGAAGTCTTCCTCACTCTTAGGCAGGAGAGCAGGTGACAGAGCACCTTCCTGTAGGCTCCCTCAGCTCATACAGTCTTGCTCCCACTAGGACTTCATTTGTTGATTGATCTCCAGTGTCTGACATGGGATGTGGCATATAGCATGGGCTTTTGACAACTATTTGTTGAGAATGGTTGTTGGGGGTTTTGTTTTCCTAACAAAGCAAAGAAGCAAGAGTTTTTGTTTTTGGTGGGAATGGGGCTTAAACTCAGGACTTCATACTTCCAAAGCAGGAGCTCTACAACTTGAGCCACACCTCCAGTCCATTTTGCTCTGGTTATTTTGGAGATGGGGGTCTCATGAATTATTTGCCCTGGCTGTCTTCAAATTGCCATCCTTCTGATCTCAGCTTCCCAAGTAGCTAAGATTATAGGCCTGAGCCACCGGAGCCTGGCTAAGAGTTTGTTTTTAAGCAGAGTTTGACTCATGTGGGTATTTGAAGTAAGTCTCTAAGAAAAACCTTTCAAAGTTAATGTTGACAGCTATAGTCCTTACGTGAATGTGTCTGCCCCATTTCCTTGTAAGTTACATAATTTAGTGACATATGCTTCATTAACAAAATAAAAATTAATTTAATGACAGACATTAGGAGACAGGACCGGAGTGACATAAACTCATTCTTATTCCTGGTCTGGAATGGTAGTGTTCTCTGGGGTCCAGAAAAAGCATAAGGCTCCCTGAGCACAGGCAGCTGGGGCCCAAAACTGGGGAAGAGTTTTAGCCCCAGTCTCAGCACCCAGGCCCGGTGTCCCAAACTCCTGCGATTGTCAAGCTGTCTCTACTTGTCAGATGAAGTTTCCAGATGCATTACTAAAGGCACTGGTGTAATTTCTGTGGATGGCACTACCTCTTTCCCTTCCTCTCCAATGGGCACTAGTTTAAAGTCTTCGGAGGCACAAGAATAAGTCAGACTTTGACCTGTTTCTATGGTCTCCAGCCTTCATCAGAAGTTCTCTCTGTTCCAGGTATCAATATGTAAAGAATATTGGAGAAACATCTGGGGATTTGCTACAAAAGGCTTTGTCCCAGACACCCATCCTGGGACAGAGAACAAGTGTCCACGCAGAGGCAGTGCAAGGGAATGGTGCCCTGGACATACAGCCCAAGCCCACAGGCCACACCTCTGGAGCAAGCAGGAAAGCAGAGGCCAGCCAGGCACAGTGGCAGGAAGGGGGCAGCATGCCCAACACAGCAACAAGAGCAGTGCTGAAGAGACAGGAAAAAGAGAGAACTGTGGTAGACACACAGCCACCAAGAGGCCAGGACAAGGAGATGGCCTCTGTTAGGTCAAAGGAACTAGCACGACAAAGTCAGGACATGAAGACAAGCAGAGAAAGAAAGGACCAGCAGGGGACACTGACAACCATAAGGACAGTGTCGGCAAAGCATCAGGTGAAAGCAGCAACTACAGCAAAGGCGCTCACTACAGAAAGTCAGAAGAAAATGTTGACCACGGCAGGGGCAGTGTCAACAAGGATGAGAAAGAAAGCAATGACCACAGCAGCTGTCACAGTCAAGGAGAAGAAGGTCCAGGCCACCCCACCCCCTGCCCCTTTCCCAAGCCCCACCACACCAAGAAGCCAAGCACTGAAGGCTGCCAACTTCAAGTCTGAGCCTCGGTGGGATTTTGAGGAACAATATAACTTGGATGTGGGGGGCCTACAGACGGTGAGTTTGTGCCATCGCCTCTTCCCTTATGCTTCCTGCTCTGGAGCCCCTCCTGAGAGGCAGCTCCCCCACCTCCAGGCACCTTCAACTTTGCCTTGGCCCACCCTACGCTCTGCCCTGCACTGTGCCAACCAGAATGGGGGAGGAGGAGAAGGCAGGCCCAGAAGCTTGGTCTGGACAGCACCAGGAGGTGCAAGTGAGAAGGGGACTTCCTTTCCCTGGAGCCCTTGAAGAAGGCCTGGAGGGCATCAATCTGGGGTGAGAGTGTGACTAGCTCTGGGTTTTGATGCATGAATCCTCTGGTAGGGGAAGGGGACAGAGACTAAAAGATGAGAAGACCTCAGCTTCTTGCCCAGCCCTAATCCCCAGAAATTAGCAAATCTAACTCTAAAACCTGAATTCTCCTCCAGCCTCAAGAAAAACTGCATGGGCTTAACCCTCCCCTCCTCATCCCCAGTCCTATTCCTGCACCTTTTCCAGAGGGGCAGCATTCAGAACACATATGTGTATGTCGTGTGTGCATATGCATAGAGTTGGATCACAGCACCAACATTACACTAGATGCATGCCACATGGGGGACACTTGCAAAGGTGCATCTGCCTAGAGGGCTGACAATGGCCATTTCCTAAAACCTCTTGGGACCACAGTGGCCCAGATGGTGGAAAGGGGAGGGCCAGCAGACTCTGGGACTGGGACAGAGAGGAAGAAGAGGCAATGCCTTCGAACTGTGATGCCCAGAGTGGCCCCTGCCCAAAGGCCTTTCTGGGCCTCTCTCTACCTGACTTTTGTCTGTCTTCCTGCACACAGACCTGCCCTGACTCTGTGAAGGTCAAAGCCTCCAAGTCACCATGGCTCAAGAATCTTTTTCTACCCAACCTAACTCTCTTCCTGGACTCCAGACATTTCAACCAGAGTGAGTGGAATCGCCTGGAGCACTTCGCCCCACCTTTTGGCTTCATGGAACTCAATCACTCCTGTGAGTCCCAACCCCAGGGGAAGTTTCTGGGCATGCACTAGGCCAGGGCAGAGGATGGCTGGCTTTCTGTCTCTGGTCTGCCTTGTCCCTGGGGGCCACCAGCCCTGGGAGAGGTGATGGGCCAGACCGCTGTCCCTTTCAGGGCTCTGAATGGAGCTCCCCCTGCCTCCCCACATACACAACTTGTTCCAGTGGTGCAGAAGGTGGTGACACACTTCCCTCCAGTGCCCCAGCAGCAGCTGCTCCTGGCCAGCCTCCCTCCTGGCAGCTCCCAATGCGTCACCTGTGCCGTGGTGGGTAACGGGGGCATTCTGAACGACTCCCGTGTGGGCCGGGACATAGACAGTCATGACTATGTGTTCAGGTAAGTTGTGCCACCCCAAGCTCCCCTCTCCTGCAGATCTGGGCTTTTCTGAGGGATATGACAGGTGCCCCGTGTCCTCATCTGGAAGGTGGAGTTTTTGGACTTTCCTGAGAATGTCAGCATTTAATTGCTGCCTCCTCCATTTCTCCCTCCTCCATCCATATCCATGCATCTCCCGCCTCCGCTCACTGTCCTGGTTTTCTTTCGGTGCAGACTGAGTGGAGCTGTCATTAAAGGCTACGAGCAGGACGTGGGCACCCGGACATCCTTCTACGGCTTTACCGCCTTCTCCCTGACCCAGTCACTTCTCATTTTGGGCAGGCGGGGGTTCCAGCATGTGCCTCTGGGGAAGGTGAGTGAAGGTGTGTATGGCCACATACACACTCTGGATAAGGGAGGATGCAGAGAGAAAGGGAGAGGAGCACCATGTGTCTGCATGCTGTGTGGTTGGCACAGGCTCTATTCATATGAAGGCAAGAGCAGAGAGGACAGCCAGGCCAGGCCACAGAAGAACAAGTGGGCAGTGGGGAGTCAGAGCCAGGCCACCCCAGCCTGTGGTTCTGAAGGAGTACTCCTGGACCACTTGCTGTCCTTGGTCCTTAGGACGTCCGCTACCTACACTTCTTGGAAGGCACCCGGGACTATGAGTGGCTGGAGGCAATGCTTCTGAATCAGACCCTGGCGAAAAAGAACCTTTTCTGGTTCAGGTACCCATTTCCCTCTTCCTGCCCCCCAGGTTAGGAGGAAAGTGCCTAAAAAGGGTTACATACATGGGACAGCCTTGGCTAAATGGAATACCAGTCATGCCCTTGACCCTGTCTTGGCCCGCATCAGGCTAGATAAGAGAATGGAGCCTAAATGATCCATCCCTGACCACAGGCGCAGGCCGCAGGAAGCTTTTCAAGAAGCATTGAAATTGGACAGATACCTGTTGCTACACCCAGACTTTCTCCGCTACATGAAGAACAGGTGAGAGCAGAAGGCAGTGCAGGGACTATATCCTCATCCCTTACAGGTCCTGACAGATGGGGATCTGGGGGTTTTTTACAGGTTTCTGAGGTCAAAGACCCTGACCACTACCCACTGGAGGATATACCGCCCCACCACTGGTGCCCTCCTGTTGCTCACTGCCCTTCATCTCTGTGACAAGGTAAGGCTCCAACTCAGGAGCTCAGTCACTGGAGAACAGTGCTGGAGCTCCCCCAAGGCCTCCTCATCATGGGATGGTGGCCCGTGGCCAGCTGGTGCACCCCTCTGGCGGGAAGGGGGAGCAGGCATGAGTGTGCATGAGCATCCAAGGGACCTGCACCCAGACCTCAGGATGGAACCAGGATAAAAGGCCACTCCCCCTCCCACACAAACACATACATGGCTCCCAAGAAGCCTGGGAGACAGCCACTGCAGGCTCTCTTCCTCCTCCCACCTTACCTAGGTGAGTGCCTATGGCTTCATCACCGAGGGCTACGAGCGCTTTTCTGATCACTACTATGATCAATCATGGAAACGACTGATCTTTTACATAAACCATGACTTCGCATTAGAGAGAACAGTCTGGAAGCGGCTACATGATGAGGGTATCATCTGGCTGTACCAGCGCCCCCAAACTGCCAAAGCAAAGGACTGACGGGAGCCTGAGCTGCAGCGGTTTCTTCACCCACTCAAGACACAGGGCGTGGGGAGTCTTGAGACTGTCCTGCTGCCTTCCTGGAGCTTGAATCAGGAAGCCCTTCAAGACTTCCAATGAACACCTGTGTAGAGGAGGAACTTGAAAGAGGTAGAGGAGGAACTTGAAAGAGGTTTTGGAGTCCTTCGGAGAGTTGCTGCAGGTTCCAATGGAGATTTCTGAGACCAGGAATTTTTTTTTTTCATTTTTCTTTTATTATTCATATGTGCATACAAGGCTTGGTTCATTTCTCCCCCCTGCCCCCACCCCCTCCCTTACCACCCACTCCACCCCCTCCCGCTCCCCCCCTCAATACCCAGCAGAAACTATTTTGCCCTTATCTCTAATTTTGTTGTAGAGAGAGTATAAGCAATAATAGGAAGGAACAAGGGGTTTTGCTGGTTGAGATAAGGATAGCTATACAGGGCATTGACTCACATTGATTTCCTGTGCGTGGGTGTTACCTTCTAGGTTAATTCTTTTTGATCTAACCTTTTCTCTAGTTCCTGGTCCCCTTTTCCTATTGGCCTCAGTTGCTTTAAGGTATCTGCTTTAGTTTCTCTGCGTTAAGGGCAACAAATGCTAGCTAGTTTTTTAGGTGTCTTACCTATCCTCACCCCTCCCTTGTGTGCTCTCGCTTTTATCATGTGCTCAAGTCCAATCCCCTTGTTGTGTTTGCCCTTGATCTAATGTCCACATATGAGGGAGAACATACGATTTTTGGTCTTTTGGCCAGGCTAACCTCACTCAGAATGATGTTCTCCAATTCCATCCATTTACCAGCGAATGATAACATTTCGTTCTTCTTCATGGCTGCATAAAATTCCATTGTGTATAGATACCACATTTTCTTAATCCATTCGTCAGTGTGGGGCATCTTGGCTGTTTCCATAACTTGGCTATTGTGAATAGTGCCGCAATAAACATGGATGTGCAGGTGCCTCTGGAGTAACAGTCTTTTGGGTATATCCCAAGAGTGGTATTGCTGGATCAAATGGTAGATCGATGTCCAGCTTTTTAAGTAGCCTCCAAATTTTTTCCAGAGTGGTTGTACTAGTCTACATTCCCACCAACAGTGTAAGAGGGTTCCTTTTTCCCCGCATCCTCGCCAACACCTGTTGTGGTGGTGTTGCTGATGATGGCTATTCTAACAGGGGTGAGGTGGAATCTTAGCGTGGTTTTAATTTGCATTTCCTTTATTGCTAGAGATGGTGAGCATTTTTTCATGTGTTTTCTGGCCATTTGAATTTCTTCTTTTGAGAAAGTTCTGTTTAGTTCACATGCCCATTTCTTTATTGGTTCATTAGTTTTGGGAGAATTTAGTTTTTTAAGTTCCCTGTATATTCTGGTTATCAGTCCTTTGTCTGATGTATAATTGGCAAATATTTTCTCCCACTCTGTGGGTGTTCTCTTCAGTTTAGAGACCATTTCTTTTGATGAACAGAAGCTTTTTAGTTTTATGAGGTCCCATTTATCTATGCTATCTCTTAGTTGCTGTGCTGCTGGGGTTTCATTGAGAAAGTTCTTACCTATACCTACTAACTCCAGAGTATTTCCTACTCTTTCTTGTATCAACTTAAGAGTTTGGGAGACCAGGAATTTTTAACAAAGTGGGTGACAAGTGGTCAATACCACAGTTGCTGGAGAGAGCACTCATCACCACCACTCCAGAGGGAGCCTGAACTCACAGAGACCTAGATCTGGTTTGGATGCCAATCTACTTAGCAGTTGTGAAATCTCAGAGACATTCCTTCATTTCACAGCAGATTGTCTAGTGAGGTGATCTGATTCTAGACTTTTCCTTGTCTTGAGCTATTTGACAGCTCTACATGTTATAGAAAGCTGGTATAGATAAAATGATTCTTGTCCATGGAGATGCAAATAAATTTAGTACAATGAAGATGTAATTATTACACCACGGACACTTTCCAAATTCTTGGTTCCTTTGAACCAGTTTTTACATCTTACTGGTTTCTTTGTTAATTGATGAGTAAATAAAATCTCCTATGTGTTCATTTTATATTTGTACAAGAGTTACTATCTTACCCTTTTAAAAAAAATCATCCTTTAACATTTCCTTAGGCCACTTTTCTAATCTCTAAGATGGCTTTCATTCCATCTATTTCACAAGAGTTGGGTTTTTTTGTTGTTTTTTGTGAGGGGGTTTTTTGTAGGACTGGAGTTTGAACTCAGGGCCTACACCTTGAGCCACTCCACCAGCTCTTTTTTGTGATGGGTTTTTTTCAAGATAGGCTCTAAGGAACTATTTCCCTGGACTGGCTTCATACCATGAACCACCTATTTCTGCCTACTCAGTAGCTGGGATAATAGGCGTGAGCCACAGGCACCAGCTTCACAAGAAGTTTTTAAGTGACTGTAAAAAGCCTGACATAACAAGGAATTCCTTTTCCTTTCCCTTTCACTCTTCTATCTCCCATCAACGTGCTATCTTGCTCAAATCCCACAATGAGCTAAGCCAAAGACACTTTGGTTCACCTTCTAGCTGTCTCCAGGGTTTGGACTCTGGAGCCCAAAAGAACCCCAAAGATCTAAAAACAATAAGGGTGCTCAATGAGGGGGAAGGGTGGAAAGCTAATAAAATAAGACTTAATGCTCGGGAGGGCTTTGCTGAAACAGGGTGCAGTGGCAGCTGCAGGCAGCTGACCCCGCTCCTCAGCTCTCCTGTTGGTGGCAGGAGATGTCACTCACCGAGGACCACACTGCCACTGTACAGGGCTTCTATGGTCCATGAAGCTTGGGTGGACAGAGCTGATTTGGGCAGTCCCTGCTTAGGGGTGTGTTTGGGGGAAAGGGACTGGAAGCACTGCTGTGGACGATTTCATGTGGATTGCTTCAATGACAACTGTGCAGAGTGGGGCCCGCCTAGCACCCTGAAGGATGAAGCTGGTGCCGGGCAAAGGATTTAAGACGCGCAGGGCAGCACAAGAGGCACGGACAAGCACTACCCGCCTCCAGGGTGCAGCCCTGAAAAGGACTCTCAGGAAGGTGAGGGTTGGGAGATGGCCTCTGGGCGGCCTGGGGCAGCTTTGCACTGGGCTGAAGGTGGGACCCGCCCCAGGGTGGCCTCCTTCATATGCCCTGCATCAGCAGCTCCCTTGAGTGACCAGGCAAGATGTGCTGCAGGCAACCCCCAACTTCTCTGGTCTGGAGATACTTTCTCCTCACACCACCAGTCACCATGCTTTGCGGGGTGGAGTGAGAATCAGCTAGTCAGGTCTTTTCTGTCAAAGGAGTGAATGTCTCTCATCGTGAAGATGCCAGCCTCCCTCCCCAGTTGCTGCCTACATGCTTTGTGAAACGTTGCTTGGCCTTGCAAAGTTCTTGGTCAAACAAAGCTGTTTATCTTCAGATGTCCTAATCTCAAACTGCTTGCTTAAAGATGAATATTGCCCTAAAGAATTTTTTTGTTCTCCCTGCTCCAAGGTCCCCCTTATCCCATGTGCCCCCCCCCCCCTTTTTTAAGTAATCAATGAGGAAGACTGTGAACCCAACCCTGTCCATCATGGTGAAGGGCAAAGATATAAAAACTAAGCTGACTCCCTGCTCAGCGTGTTTGCCTATCAGACTGTGGTCTGTGGCTGCACCCTTCTACAGAAGTAAACTTTTTGCCTTGCTGAGAGACTCCCCAGTATTTCTGTGATCATCAATTGGGAACAGCATTTCTAACAGTGGGGCATCACATTCAGTGGAGAGAAAAATAGAGAGAAAGTAGTAGCCACTAGCCTAGAGGTCCTTGACCCCAGACCCAACACCTCAAGTTAACCCAGGCTGTAGCTTACAGCTGAGCCTCTGCTTCTTTACTCCGTGTGCAAAGTGGAAAGCACTTGGTCAAACCGTGAGGGAGGCATCAGCCAATAGAAGTAGAAAAGAGTGGGCTGGGGGCATGGCTGCACTTGCCTAGCGTGCAGGAGGACCTGGGTTCCATCCCCAGGGCTCCCCCACCAAAAAAGCCAAAAAATTCAGAGACAGAGAAATCTATTAGAGGCATAAGAATTAGAATATACCCAAACTGTCTTTATGTGCAGATGATACGATAGTATCTGACAGAGTATACTAAATATTGCAGATATAAGAAGGCAGTGTGAGGGGTGTGGGGCAGGGGGTGGGGGTAATAAGCGCAGAAATGGTTCTGGGAATGTAACAGAAACAAATGACGAGTAAATTTGTCTTTTATTATTATTATTATTGTTTTATTATTCATATGTGCATACAATGCTTGGGTCATTTCTACCCCCTGCCCCCACCCCCTCCCTTACCACCCACTCTGTCCCCTCCCTCTCCCCCCTACCCTCTCAATACCCAGCAGAAACTATTTTGCCCTTATGGTCTAATTTTGTTGAAGAGAGAGTATAAGCAATAATAGGAAGGAACAAGGGTTTTTGCTGGTTGCGATAAGGATAGCTATACAGAGAGTTGACTCACATTAATTTCCTGTGTGTGGGTGTTCCCTTCTAGGTTAATTCTTTTTGATCTAACCTTTTCTCTAGTTCCTGGTCCCCTTCTCCTATTGGCCTCAGTTGCTTTTAAGGTATCTGCTTTAGTTTCTCTGCGTTGAGGGCAACAAATGCTAGCTAATTTTTTAGGTGTCTTACCTATCCTCACACCTCCCTTGTGTGCTCTCGCTTTTATCATGTGCTCAAAGTCCAATCCCCTTGTTGTGTTTGCCCTTGATCTAATGTCTGCATATGAGGGAGAACATACGATTTTTGATCTTTTGGGCCAGGCTAACCTCACTCAGAATGATGTTCTCCAATTCCATCCATTTACCAGTGAATGATAACATTCCGTTCTTCTTCATGGCTGCATAAAATTCCATTGTGTATAGATACCACATTTTCTTAATCCATTCGTCAGTGGTGGGGCATCTTGGCTGTTTCCATAACTTGGCTATTGTGAATAGTGCCGCAATAAACATGGGTGTGCAGGTGCCTCTGGAGTAA